AGGAATGTCTTCTTGTCTATCTTCAATGGTAAGTCAAGCGCTAGTTTTACTTTTGCTGACGATTGACCCACTGCACGTCATTGGTGTGTCACTGTCTTGATTGTTTCCTGTGAGTAGCCATCATACACAACTATTGGGTGGGCATACTTTTGCACCACACGTATATATGTGTTGATTATTTGTCTATACATATCCCCCTGTGACCATGGCAAACGCTGTAGAAGAGAACCACCATCTAAAACATTGCATTCTGCTTCTGGAATATTAATGTCTTGTGTGTCACTGCAGAGTTTAGAAATAGCATCCGAAAGTTTTGGTTTTGTAAGAGCGTTTAGTAGGCCATGCTTTGTAAAGAAGGATGGTGGATAAAGCGACAGCTCGTATCTGAAACCCTTATTTAGATCGATATCAGTGTTATTTGCTATGATCAGGAATCTCTGAAAGAGCAGCTGTGGAGCGACAACCAATTCCTCTCCATCGGAAATCACCTTCGCTCCCATCACTTTGACTTGGTTCTTTTTCTTGAAGACATATTTTGTAACCTGCTCGCCTTCCATGCTGGTAATGATGGACTTGCCTATATCTTCAGCCATGTGAGCGTTGGACACACTTGAGGCAATGCCTGTTGATATGTCATACAAGTAATCGCTCTTTTTGAACGGGTCATGGCTTTCAAGGTATTCAAGAATGATTGCCGTATCTGCCATATCTCGCTTCATTGCACTTTGACTGAGTTCACTGGTCGTGTTCTTGTAGCTACTGAGCTTCTCCATCTCGGTTGTTATCTGTGCATAATCGGACACCGTCAGCAGCCACCATGTCCGTTGCGTCTCGTCCATCCCTCGTCCATGCGTGATTCCACCCTTGCTCTTTAGAGACTTCATTAAAACCTGCTCAATGATCAGATCTGTTGTCAAAGCACCCCAGAATCGATCGCTACGTCTGACAAACATATTTCCACCCATGAACTCTTGAAAAACACTAGGGTTTTTTTCCTCTAGGTTCAGCATGCCCTGCAGGAACAGATGGACGGACTTAGCATAACTGTTGTGCCCACTTGCTGCGAAGTATGGTAGCATTTCCTTCAAGGACTTCAGGTGAAGCATGAAGTTGCCAGTGCGTTGAGCCTTCAGGTCAATTCTCAGAAGATCAATTGTTTTCATATACTGCAGCCATAACTTCCCTGTTGGTGTTGCAGATATGTCAAGCTTCGCTTTCTGGAAAAGCTGATCGAGTGCTTAGATATCAACATCATTTGTTGCAGATACATGTGTTTAATCGCCGAAAACCTCGTCAAACATTTGCAGAGCATGGACCACTACCTGTTCATTGGTTTCTTCTGTTGATATCTTCTTCAAAAGGACTGCGTAAAGCACGCTATCCACCAAAAAGTGGCCCCTGACTGCTCTTGCATACGCCTTCCCGCTGAGCATATGTGTGACTGTGTTACCGGCGAAGGCTAGCGAAGGCTAGCTCGACCACGCGACTTCATGAAATGGCCAATGATTCCGAGAAACGACATCAGTGTATAGAAGGCTCCAAGTATAAGGATGACATTGCTCAGCTCTTCTTCTTGGCTGATGATCAGTTTGGCCTTCATCCAGAGGGGCTGGTCAAACGTTACTATCGGCTGGACGTTGTACTTCATACATTGATTGTTCACAAACGTTAGTGTTGAATATATGCAGCTCATGTCGGTAGGGTCTAGATCTATCATTGGAAGGAAATGGAAAGACGCCTTCCCTTGGTGCTGTCCATGTGTTACTGCTTGCATGAAGCCAGACCAGATAGGTCTTAATCTGTGTGGATACGAGATCTTCCAAAGTAAATCAAGATGTCGTCTTGCATCTTCGGCAACTATATCTTGTATGTGTTCATACAGAAGATTCTCACCACATTTTCCCAGCTTCCGAAACGGTAGTATTTGTAGACTTGAAGTGTGTTCTTGTAGACTGGACTTGTCTCTGGGGATGGTACGGTCGGACTTGACTGCCGCAATTGCTGTATACATAAGCCCCATGCCATGATACGTTCCTCTGCCATCAATGGTGATGGTGTTGTGATCAACATTGTCAGCTATAACGTGACAGAAACTACCTTGTAGGTTGGAAAAAGTATCACTCTGATGTTTCGCAGCAGACGCTTTAAACAGTAGTGCTTCGTCATAAGAAAGACAAAACCTTGGTGAATACGAAGGTTCTAAGACATTTTATCGTTATTCTAGACAATTGCTGTTACTCAGTCAAGCAAAAATGGTAGGTATCATGAAAGTGGGGAAAACACTGGAAAATTCTCGCAATAGTTACTTTAATATAGATGACAATATTCAGAAAAATTGTTCACGTTGAGTCAAACAATTGACTGAACATGGAATATTTTTCTAAATCTGCTCGTCTAAGATGACAGTTATAACATATAATGGCATAATTAACACCTGGTAACAATTTATTGTTAGTACGATGGGTGATAAACTTTCTTCCATCTGTTATGGTAACAGCTAGTTTAAATTTACTCCTGACTAACATATATATAGTAATGTATTGTGACCGTGTTGTAGCATTTTTAACCAATTATTTAAGCATGTCAGTGATATGAGCAATGGTACTAACAATTTAACGTCACTGTGACAACTAACGGATATAGCGGAATTTAAGATAACTGTGAAACACACACCTGAAAAGTATGGTTGTGTTTGTGTTGGTATATGGTTATGCTGTAATATAACACAAAAGAAACGATGGAACGAAAGAAGACGACGGAACAGCGATATTTCCTTACTGCTTAAAGCGCTCGTGAAGGAATGGAATGAACGGCTTTACAATACATACTCGCAATAACGTTATATTTAGCGCACTCTATATGGCTTTAACATTGCACGCGTCTTGAATGTCAGACATTGGCGAACTTAGATGGGGGTTCGCGACTTGGGGGAGGGGGGGGGGTCGCGACCTCGCCACTTAGTGGGTGGGGCGTACAGATTGGGGAGGGCGCAGAGCAAAGGTTTTGATTTCGCCCGTGCTTCCATTTCCGTTGCGTCTAGGCGTTTCCACTAAAGTTGCCAAACGTAAAAAATTCCAACATAATAAAAAATCGACCATTATTTTATGGAAAATTGACTAAAAATAGTGCATCGAAATAGTACGCGGATTGTTGCGCCAGTTACTCTTTGAACATCATACGCTGTTAACAAATCGCCAATTCGCTGCATTTCCCGCGAGCTCCGCCCACTATTAAAAAATACTGCTAGCATCGTGGCATGATGTATCCTGAGGACGAAAGAGTTAGTATTTTGATTTCGATCTTATCGATGAAGCAGTAAGGCGAAATTAAGTGCAATGCATTTCAAAGTAAGCTACTTCATTACCATTAATATATAGTATCTAATCATTTCTGAGGAGCTTCTCTTTATATAAAACAATTAATACTGATCTCCATCTTCACTCATCTAAGTCACCACTTAGCCTATATCATATCACCCTAGTCCGCAAACTCAGATCGTATAATCGCTTTGCCTAATCTAGGGCCGGTATTACCACCCCCATTACTGGGTCGCTCCTCGGACTAATGCCACCCCTACCATACAATCCCCACATGGCATTGTCATTATCAAGTATCCAGGAACTAGCTAAAGGTAAATTGCTTGCTATATAAGGCAGGAGTTGTCTACTATAGACTATAAGGGGTATACTAATCTCTAGGCAAAACGTTCTGAGGCTTCGTATAGTTACTTCTCCCAGAAGCACCTCTTATATCACGCACACCTGACTTTCACACGACCGTGAATTTCTGACTACTCTCGGAACTCGAAGTATCACAGATAAGAAGGTACTCCTCACCATCCAGATAGAACAGGTCGGTACCGACGGTCTGCCATGGTCCCGTGGGTATTTCGTACTGCAGTAGTGGTTCTGGGCTTTGTGACTTCTGGGAATGCTGACAAATACCACACGACTTTATCATGTTCTCTATGTCTGCATTACAGTTGTTCCAGTAAACACAGGTACGAGCCCTCAACCTGGTCTTGTCGATACCCTGGTGAGACTCGTGAAGTTTCGAGAGAACGTAGCTCTGCATGCTGTCTGGAATCATGACACGTTCTCCCTTCATGACGATACCATCGTGGACAGTAAGTTCATCTCTGTATGCCCAAAACTGGCGTAGTGCAGGTGGTAGCTCGTTCCGTCGGTCGGGCCATCCCTGCACGATCACCTTCTTCAGAGCATGAAGTGTACCATCAGCTTGGGTCGCTTCGCGCAACTCATCCTGTTTCTGTGTACTGAATTGCACAAGTTCAACTTTGACATCTAGGTCAATAGTGTCGTTCTCTCCTCCAGGAGATCGAGAGAGAGCATCTGCCATCAATACTTCCTTCCCCGGCTTGTACATTATCTTCACGTCATAAGTCTGGATTCGCAGTAACATGCGCTGTAGTCGCTGAGGAGCTGACGAAATGTTCTTGAGATGTATCATTTCAAGCAGCTTGTGGTCCGATTCCACAATAAACTGCTTTCCGTACAAATAAGTATGGAATTTCTCGCATCCAAAAACCACCGCCAAAAGTTCACGCTCTATATTGGCATATCGCTGCTCACAATCACTCAAGATTTTGGACGCGAAAGCGATCAGCTTGTTGTTTTGGATCAGAACAGCTCCTAGACCTTTGCTTGACGCGTCAACTTGCAGGATAGATGGCTGCTGCGGGTCAAAATAGCTGAGAGTTACCTCTCTACAGATGAGTGTAATCAGCTTGTCATATGCTGATTGGTGGGAGGGAGTCCATTCGAAGACAACACCCTTCTTCATTAGCTCTCGCAGTGGCGCTGTGTGCTGGGATGCATGAGGCAGGAACGGTGATAGGTATGTCACCATTCCGAGAAACTCTTGCAACTGTTTTGCATTCTTCGGGTATTCCATCTCTCTAATCGCCTTGACCTTGTCAGGGTTGGGGTGCACTCCATTGGCATCATAGACCACGCCAAAGAATTTCATGGACGGTTTGTTTATCTCGCAGGGTTGAATACGAGTCCGCTCTCCTGTGCTACCCTCATGACGTTGTGCAGATTGACGTCATGATCAGCTTGGTCTTTCCCGAATACAGCAACGTCATCCGCTATTCCAGTCGTGCCCGGACACTGCTCCAGTATGTTGTCCATGCACTCCTGGAATTCATCTTGGCTGACATTCAGGCCAAATGGCAACCTCTGGAAGCAAAATCGACCAAATGGGTTGTTAAATGTCGTCAGGCAACTTAATTCGCTGTCAAGTTCTATTGACCAATATCCGTGGCGAGCGTCCAACTTGGAGAAAGTGGTTGCTCCCGCGAATTTGTGGGTGATCTCTTCAAGTGTCGGCGTCTTATAGTGCGGGCGTTTTATCGCCTCGTTAAGGTCCTTCGGATCAAGACACACCCTGAGTTTGCCGTTTGACTTCCGACTGTACGCCAGACTACTGACCCAGTCTGTGGGCTCAGTGACCTTAGTGATGACTCCTGACTTCACCATACCGTCAAGTTCCTTCTTGAGCTCATCTCGCAGGTGAATCGGACATCGTCGTGGGGCGTGCACCACTGGCGGGACGGACGGGTCTACAGTTATGTGAAATGTTCCCTTGAAGTGACCAATACCTTCAAACCTGTCTGGATACATTCGGACCAAGTCCTCCTTTGCAGTCATGTGAGGAGTTTCACTGTTTTTGTTGACGGCACAGTTCAATGCTACCAGATGTAGGTCACGTGAGGTGGGCAGACCCATCTGAGCCGGCCCTCCCGATTCCGTGACATAGAATTCTGCATCGCACGCCTTGTCCCGATATATACAAGGTATTGACGTCGACCCATATTGTGCAATACGGGAGCCGTTGTAGCCTGTCAACAAAGTATCATGGTCTGTTCTCGTGGCGCCTTTCTTAGGAAATCCCTCGCCGTCTAGTCGCTTTGGATACATGCGTCTGTATATTCTCAGTGGGAGCATATTTTCCTTGGGCCCCTGTATTGACCTTGACCTTCAAGGTCGCTGGAGTCTGCGGTTTGTTCTCCAGTATAATGTCAACTGTAGCAAATACTTCGTCCCTCCTGTCTCGGGGGTTGTTGGAATGCACGGATTCAAATGAAAGATTCTCAAAACTTTCATTTAGAGAGTTCGCGGCTGCCTGTCTGTCTCTGTTACCACGATGTACCTCGTGAACTTGGTGCCTTCTCCCACGTGAGGCTGACCTGCCTCTGTTATTCCTGCTCTGACCTCTATGGAACTGTGACCTTGACCTTGGGTTTCTGTCCCTAACCCGTGTGGACATGCACATCTTTTTCCAGTGGTTCAATTTACCACACAAGTCACACTCTGTCCCATAGGCTGGACATTTCTCCATGGGTTTCGGTGGGTGTTTTCCCCCACAGTACTGACACATTGGATACGACTGTTGTCTGCTTTTATATGCCTTGTTAACTTGGTAAACTGTGCCTCCGCTGGCGCCACCAGCCATCTGTTTCATATGAGCATCAGTCGCTTCATGCGTTCTGACAATGTCTAGCGCTTCTTCAAGTGTTAGCTTCCCATCTTTGCCTAAGAGAATTTCCTGGACCTTCTTGTGTACAGTCCCGATGATTAACTGTTCAATTAATCTCTCGTTCGTTTCCTGATCATCACGGAACTTGCACTTCTTCGCTTGAAGCTTACACCTAGTCATAAATTCATCGATTGTCTCCCCTTCTGACTGGTGCAGTTTCTGTAACTGATATCTGTGCAGCCGAAAATTTGACTGGGGCTCAAGGTGTTTCTCAAACTTGTCCCATAATGTGGCTGGTTTATCTGCTTTAATATTCCAGCAGTTGAATATCTGTAATCCCTCCTGACCTACCCATATCAGTACATAATTAGCTTGCTCCTCCACCGACTTCTCATAAAGTGGTCCGGCGAAGATTAGTGAACAATACTGTTTGAAATTCTTGGAAAGCTGTTGGAAGATCCGTGCTGGACCAGTCCATACGAGGTGGCGTTATACCTGACAGTTCACCCATGATGGTACGTGTATAAGGCCTACTGTACCATACACTGGGTATCGACACACCGTACAAGTACGTGTATTACTGTCAATGACAGGATACTGTCTATTTTCCACTCACCACACTGTCCAGTAATTGCTACTCCAGCAGACTCAAACACTGCGTGTAATGTATACTCCGGATGCGTGTACAACCGAGTATTACTATTACTTGTCCTCTAGTAGGCCTAGTGCACGACGCGCACATATATGCATACCACCTGTTGCGTGGTGATGCCGATGTCGCTTACTGCCGCGATCGATCGTGGCAATGAGGTCGGTGCAGACAAATCCGATATTCTCGCTTCTGGCGCTGGCCAACACACTGTCAATGTCATGCAGATGTTCACCGGAGTGTTATGTCAACACTGCGATGACTTTTACCGCTGTCACCATGTAAAGTATCGGATGTCCAGACATAATTGGGTAAACAACATTTATTCGTGCTTAGCATAACATGGCCGAGCCCAGAGAGGACTGCTTTCAGTAACAGTCTACATACGCGGGTATACGCGTAGTGATGTGGCTACAAGGTAGTTCTGCATAATGTTACAGTCGGGTGTCGAAAATTTCCGGGGGCATGCTTTACGGGTTTAATGCCCCGGACCCCCCTAGTAAGGCGTGCCTTCGGCACGCTGGGGTGTGTAGGCCAATCACCTCAGGTAAACCCCCCTTAGTTAAAACCTAGATCCGCCCCTGGTGTACTATATAAAATTGCCATGTAGGCCTATTTGTCCATGTCGAAAAGCAAAACAAGGTTCATACCGCACACATGTGTAAGCGTTGTAACATATCTTAGCGCAAATAATACTAGGTATAGTGTGCAATGATATCATAGCAAAGTCGCTGAAATGGACCAGTGCGGTCCCATTTGACACGAAAATGCACAAAATCTCCCTTCTGTCCCTGTTTTCATATGAATATATTTTTTTGAAGGGCAACGAGTTGCATACTATTTCTATGTGTAAGGCTCAGATAATACTCATCTACACTAAATCTCAATGTCAATGTCCAGTAGTTTTTCAGTGATACAGTACAAAGCAGTCATAAGCAGTACAATGCTGAGATAACACTCATGCACAGTAAATCTGTCGGTTTCGTTACGTTTCCTGGAAAGAAAATTTGGTAAATCCAAAATTGAATCTGCGGTCATTTTTACTAAACATTGAAATGTAGTCACAAATTGTATACTTAAAGGCATTGTGGTGATAAAAATGCGGTATTTAGGGAGTGAGACGCCAAAATTCCAAACAAAAAGGTATAGAGTTAAGGATGGGAACTACCCACACCACTAATCCAAAATCTATACAACTCACTCTCGCGTGTCCTCTTCGTCCTATTTTTTTCTTTAGTGACCAGTTGGGGACAGTAACTAAATAAACATCGCACTCGATAAGTTGCGTTTGAAAAGCCACTTTAATAAAGGCTACTATAATCCGTTACTCGAACGATTGGTAACATCGGGGAAATATCCGGCTTCCAAACAAAACAAACCCAAATGCATAAGGCGTATCACGCTTGACTAGGGTTTACCGAAATTTAAGAGGCTACATATGTCCTTTAATAATTAGTAAACACCCTAATACCTAGCTCTCAACCAGATATGATTGCACGCGATACATAATAAGAAATATTGTGGCAAGCAAAACACACACACAGGAGTTGCCACACCAATAGCACGCATCAGGGTATGCAAATAACATGTAGACGTAATATTACGAGTACAACCACACTATAAGTACTAGTAGTACTATATAGTGGCGCTACAACACTGCCAGTATGAACAATTGCCTACACGTCAAAACCTCCTGAATAATGCCAAATACCTTGCCATTGACAACATCGGTTACTACTGGTGTTACAGTGTTACACCAATTAAATTACAATGTCCGATACAACGTACAGCAGCTACTACAAGTAACAAATAAATGACATTGCAATGACGGAACGGCCTAACCGCGAGTTAAGTTCTCTGCGGTACAACAATCAACGAGGTGATGCCAAAAGTTCGAGAGTTTGCCTCTACTGTAGAGCTGCGGGAGCGTCGTCTGTAGGCTGTAGTCTGTAGGTAGCACTAGCGCAGGCGACTCGCCGAATAAGCGCAGGAAAACTCGTCTTTGCTACGACCAATAGTTCGACGAGCCAAACGCAGATCTGCATCGGGGTGCACATAGTGAAACTGTTCAATGTTCGCAATCACAACAACAGTGGTGATACGGCGTGACGACCCGAGAAGAAACAGGGCTATACAGCCACTCTTTGAAAGCGGGAGACTACACGGAAACAATGTCTGTCGCACACATCACATAATAACTCACTGATGTATGACATTTTCTTCTCCTTAAGCTCCGAGTTCTGATATGAGCTCTTGACTCAACGCGATTCAAACGCGGAATGAATTCCCTAACAGAAATGGTGCACCTAGCCCTCGTGAGCCTCACATGCAATCACTACCGTGATTGGCTAGTGCGATTACGTAAAAACGATTCTGATTTGCTATGGTGGAATAACAACAATTATGCAAACTACATCATGCAAATTATTTCCGCTACACGTGATATGCGCGAGTACATTCAATCATGATATATACACATTGAACAGCTGCTTAATCTAATAACATACAAATTATAAACCTGCTACATTAGCCCCCTCTTAGTCACGAAGTAGCTGAAAGCTAGAATAGAAGAAAAAGGAAAGAAAAGGATGGTAGCAGGGGTACACTAATAAAGGATCAATTATGACAAACCCAAAGGAAATCAATCCATTAAGTAGGTAGCAAAACCACGCTGAAAATGTACACGCCGGCCTGAACGCGTAGCTTGCACCGGTGATTCGGGCGGAAGTGAAGATGGCTGTTCAGGCGGAGGTTGTGGCGGTGGAGTTGGCGTAGGGCCGGGCACGGTTGCTGCCCGAGTAGCCTTATGGGCCTGGGGCCCGGTGGGCGCGGAGTAACCCTCGATGAATGCGGGCTTAAGACGGTCCACGCTAACAGTGGTCCTTTTCCCGTGTTGGTCCAGGACATAGTACTTGGGAGTCCTGTGCGTTACAGGGTAAGGTCCAGCATAGGGCGCCTCCAACGGCCGTCGTACATGATCCTGACGGATAAACACATGTGTGCATTCTGTCAAAGCCTTGGGGATGTACGACCGGGTAACGTGTTCCCGTGAGCCCGCAGGAGATAGGTCAGCCATGTGGCGCCTGAGGTGATGGACGTAATCAGTTGGGTCCGCAAAAGAGAAGGCTTTTGGAGCGACTAACTGCTTTGGCAACCGCAGTGTGGTGCCATAGACAAGCTCTGCTGGCGTACATCCAACATCCTCCTTGACTGTGGCACGTATACTCAGAAGTATAAGAGGTAAGTGCTCAGTCCACCGGTTTGGTTCCGGCTGTGCCTTAAAGGAAGCCTTGAGCTGCCTGTGGAAACGTTGATATGCAGTGGTGCGCACTGATGTACTGCCCAAAAGGTCAGCCAACGTCTGGAATAAGGCGGCCTCGAATTAACGTCCACGGTTATGGGTAATGGATGTAGGCGCTCCAAATCGGGCGATTCATTGCTCAACGAGGACTTTGACCACGGTTTCTGCCGATATATCCCGAATGGGGAAAGCTTCGGGCCAACGGGTAAACCTATCGACTACCGTAAGTAGGTAAGAGTAGCCTTGTGACGACGGCAAGGGTCCGACCAAATCAATGTGGATGTAGGCAAAACGGGCATCAGGATCAGCAGAGGTGCCTAGTGGGGCTTTGATGTGCCGATAAATCTTAGCGCGTTGGCACTGCAAACTTGTACGTGCTCATGCTCGGACATCCTTGTTCATCCCTGGCCATACATACCGAGCTGCTATGAGCTTCTGAGTGGCGTTGATGCCAGGATGGGCAAGTCCGTGAAGGAACTCAAAGATGGTCCGTCTGTGGCACTGGGGAATGTAGGGCTGCGGTTGAACAGTCTTGACATCACACCAGATGTATCCAGCATGGGAAGCAAGGCGTACTTTCTCCAGTTGCAAGGACGACGTATCATGCAGGAGTGATTCCATTTCCGGATCTTCCTGCTGGCCCTTTGCAATTGTGTCGAGGTCGACAATCTGAGATGTATGAAGAGCCATGACCGGGATGCGCGACAAGGCATCGGCCACAACATTATCCTGGCCTTTCACATGGCGGATGTCGGTCGTGAACTGAGAAATGAAGTCAAGGTGACGGATCTCCCTGGGCGAGTGCCTGTCCGGCTTTGAGCGGAGGGCATAGACCAGTCAGTGGCTTGTGGTCTGTGAAAACCGTAAAGTCACGACCCTCAAGGAAATGTCGGAAGTGCTTGATAGCCAGGTACATGGCTAGGAGTTCACGGCCGAATGTGCTGTACCTGGTTTCATTGGGCAGGAGCCGCTTGGAAAAGAAAGCTATGGGCTTCCACTCTCCTTCGCACTCCTGCTGGAGTACGGCTCCAACGGCCACGTCGGAGGCATCGACCATGAGGGTGTTTTGGCGGTTCGAGGAGGGGTGTACTAACATCGTTGCGTTAGCCAGGGCATGCTTGACCTTGTGGAACGCAGTAGTACACTCCGGGGACCATTGTAACGGTTTGTTGCTCGACCGGTGAGGTTGCTTTCGGAGCAAGTCCGTTAATGGAGCGAGGATATCAGCGCAACGCGGGACGAAACGGCAGTAAAGGTTTACCATGCCTAGGAAGGTGCGCAGCTGTTTGAGATAATTGGGTTGCGGAAAATCCCGGATTGAAACAACCTTCTCGGGTAGGGGGTGACAGCCCCGACTATCGAGGTGATGTCCCAGGAAGTCGAGTTCTTCATTGCCGAACTCGCACTTTGCGGGATTGATGACCACACCATACTCCTGAAGGCGGGCAAAAAGTTGCCGCAAATGTTCACGGTGTTGGTCCGGTGTGTCGCTGGCGACGAGGATGTCGTCTATGTATGCATACACAAAGGGTAAATCCCTGAGTACCCGGTCGATGAACCTTTGAAAGGTTTGGGCCGCGTTCCGCAGGCCATAAGGCATTCGACGGAATTGGTATAACCCAAATGGGGTTGTAATGGCCGTCTTGGGCACATCAGCAGGATCGATAGGAATCTGGTGGTATGCTCTCACCAGGTCGATCTTGGAGAAGACCTTCTTTCCCACCAAATGCACTGCAAAGTCTTGCAGGTGAGGAATGGGGTACCTGTCAGGCACCGTTCCTAGGTTGAGTGCTCGGTAGTCGCCACACGGGCGCCAGTCTCCGGATTTCTTCGGGACCATATGAAGTGGGGATGACCACGGGCTATCCGACGGTTCAATTATGCCGAGGTCAAGCATGTGCTGGAACTCATTCTTGGCAATCGTGAGCCGGTCGTCAGGCAGGCGTCGCGGTCGGGCGACGCAAGGAGGGCCCTTGGTGACGATATGGTGCGTCACATCGTGTTTGATGGGTGCGTCCTCGCATAGGGGACGAGTGATGTCCGGGAACTTCGTGAGAATCTCCTCGTAGGAGTTGGTCGGTTCTATCGGGCTCACCGTCAGCTTGGTGCCGGGTGAGGGAACCGTACCCATAGCATAGACTGCTAATTGAGTCGTGGAATCGAGGAGGCGTTGCGCGCGAACATCAACCGTCAAGCCAAAATGGTGCAGAAAATCTGCGCCAAGTAACGGCATTGTTACGTCTGCCAATACAAAAATCCAGCGGAATGTGCGTCGCAGTCCAAGGTTGAGGGTCAGTGAACGCTGGCCATATGTCCTAATAGTGGACTTGTTAGCCGCCTGTAGGGCAAAATGTGACACAGACTTGCGCTCACTCTCATGTGCTGGAAAAACACTCACAGTGGCGCCTGTATCGACCAGAAATCTGGTGTTCGAGACATAATCCTTGACATACAACAAGCGACAACCAGCAGTCCCGGCGGGCATTGCCGCTTCTACTGGCCGGGATGCGCGTTTTCCGCTCGGTCGGACTTGCATGGCGGGATGCATTTGTGCGCTTGGGCACCGAAGCGTTGGTGGTACCAGCACAAGTCACCAACAGGTTTGCGCTCGCGGCTCTGACTGGGATTGCGCCCGGAATTCCTTCCGCGATAGGCAGGGCGTGATCTCGGCTCTAATCGTGCCTGGAGCTGGCTAACCGCGGCAACAAGAGAGTTCACTTTCTCTTCCAGGGAGAGGTTGCCTGTAGAAACACCAACCACCGGCGCGGCCTGTGGTACGGGTGCAGCGGCGGCAATTTGAGGGATGTGAACATCCATGATTCTGTCTGCCAGTGTTGCCAGTGCATCCAGTGCGACAGCGTCTACGGAAGCGGCGAGCACGACACGGACGTTTGGGGGTAGGCGCTGCAGGAAAAGCTCCTTGAAGATGCCTTCCTCGAGGTGCCGGTCTCCTAAGAGCTGGCGCATACGGCGCAGCAGCTGAGACGGTTTCTTGTCCCCAAGTTCCTCCTCGCTTAAAAGGAGTTGTACCCTCCGTTGTTCGGAGGCGGAGGTCCGCTTGATAAGTTCAGCCTTAAGCGTAGTATAAGGCTTAGATGCGGGCGGAGTGATTATGAGGTCGCGTACCTCGACCGCTATTTCGGGTTGCAGGGCGGAGACGATGTGAAAGAATCGAGTCTCCTCTACTGTGATGCCCCGCGTAGCGAACTGGGCCTCTGCCTGGCCAAACCACACCATAGGGTCAGCCGGCCAGTACGGCGGGAGCTTCACCGATACGAAACCAACGTGGTGCGTCATGCACCCAGCTTCAGCCTTGGGTGCCTCGACCACCGGGTCATCGGGTTTTGGGTCGGACATGATAGAAGCTGTGCGATATTGATTACTATAAAGTCACCAACGGATCACGTCGGGGTCACCAATGTGGTGATAGAAATGCGGTATCTAGGGAGTGAGACGCCAAAATTCCAAACAAAAAGGTATAGAGTTTAGGATGGGAACTACCCACACCACTAATCAAAAATCTAGACAACTCACTCTCGCGTGTCCTCGTCGCATTCGCCACCTATTTTTTTAGTGACCAGTTGGGGACAGTAACCAAATAAACATCGCACTCGATAAGTTGCGTTTGAAAAGCCACTTTGATAAAGGCTACTATAATCCGTTACTCGAACGATTGGTAACCGATCACGATGCAAACATTATCGATATGTACAAGTGAATATACACACGGGGAAATATCCGGCTTCTAAACAACACAAACCCAAATGCGTGAGGCGTATCACGCTTTACTAGGGTTTACCGAAATTTAAGAGGCTACATATGTGCTTTAATAATTAGTAAACACCCTAATTCCTCTCAACCAGATATGATTGCACGCGATACATAATAATGAATATTGTGCCAATCAAAACACACACACAGGAGTTGCCACACCAATAGCACGCATCAGGGTATGCAAATAACATGTAGACATAATATTACTAGTACAACCACACTATAAGTAGTACTAGTGGCGCTACAACACTGCCAGTATGAACAATTGCCTACACGTCAAAACCTCCTGAATAATGCCAAATACCTTGCCATTGACAACATCGGTTACTACTGGTGTTGCACCAATTAAATTACAATGTCCGATACAACGTACAGCAGTTACTACAAGTAACAAATAAATGACACTGCAATGACGGAACGGTCTCACCGCGAGTTAAGTTCTCTGCAGTACAACAATCAACGAGGCGATGCCGAAAGTTCGGGAGCTTGCCTCCACTGTAGAGCTGCGGGAGCGTCGTCTGTAGGCTGTAGTCTGTAGGTAGCACTAGCGCAGGCGACTCGCCGAATAAGCTCAGGAAAACTTGTCCTTGCTACGACCAATAGTTCGACGAGCCAAACGCATCGAACGATCTGCATCGGGGTGCACACAGCGAAACTGTTCAATGTTCGCAATCACAACAACAGTGGTGATACGGTGTGACGACCCGAGAAGAAACAGGGCTATACAGCCACTCTTTGAAAGCGGGAGACTACACGGAAACAATGTCTGTCGCACACATCACATAATAACACTGATGTTTGACATTTTCCTCTCCTTTAGCTCCGAGTACTGATATGAGCTCTTGACTCAACGCGATTCGAATGCGGAATGAATTCCCTAACAGAAATAGAGCTCCGAAGTGATGACGTCACGGTGGCATGACAACGAGCCCACTCACTGGTTCTACACAATCATATGCTCTGGTAACATTAACTGCGTGTCGTGTTTTGTAGCCGATTGTAACCATCATT